AGTTTGATAATGTATGTATTAATTAGTGTGGGAATGGAGTATTAATTAATTAATATGAAGAATGCGATGATGGAAATAATTATGGAGGAAATGGATGTTCTAATTTGTGCAAAATCGAAGATTCTTATCAATGTATGAATTAATAAGGCTTATTAAGTTTATGTACATATATTCTAGCTCCTGAATTTCATTTGAATATTCTATCTGAAACTACAAATTAAATTCAAATTATTGAATTAATGTTCACTTAATACGTAAAATTAAAAGAAACTCTAAATTTAGAAGATATCATAGTATTTACTATTTTCCATCAATTCGATATCATTTAATCACAAAAAGCATTTTAAATTTAACAAATACCTTAGACAATCCTAAATATTAAATTTAAATTGAATTTATGGAATCTATTTAATATCCTATTTTACAAGTCGAAATTCAAAAACATATTATTTTTAATCAAGATGAATTAAGTTTATAGAATCATAAAAAACTATCAATCTTGGCACTCCATTTGTGCTCCCAGAAACAACTAAATAACAAGTAATATCTATAGTTTAATTAAATGATATTATGATGTATTCTTTGGCTGGAGTATCAAGCTTGGCTTTGTTAACAGGTAATCCAGCCATTTTTTTTAATTTATTAGAGCTATTATAATCATTATCTTACGTAAGATATATGCAATATCAATTTCCACCACATTTGAGATATTTTTTAAATACTTACACTAAAATCTCTATGCAACCTATTTTTGATTATTTATAGTTAGATTAATTATTCGAAAAATTAAGTGGAGGAGGTAAATCAAATCAAGTAACTAATTAGAAGCAGGAAGACCATAATATCATTTTCAATTAACCTTATTTGTTCAATGCTAAAAGTTGTTATATTTCTCTATTTTCATTTGCATTATTGTTATGTTTTCTACTATGATGGCTTCAAATTTGTGTATAGATTTATTTTAATTACTGTAAAAAGCATATGATAAATATCTGTAAAAGAAAATTAAACAAAAAATTAAAGAGGAGAGAGAATAATTAATTCCAACAATTTTAAGGATTTTAAGTTAAAAATAATGATTATTAATAGAAACGATGATTTATAAAAAATTAAATTTACAAAAATTTGATATCTTTTTATTTATTTTTATCTCTTTTATGAGCAATGAATATGTTATGTTTTATTTTTTCATAAAACAATGTAATTATTTAATTGATCTAATAATATTCAATTATCTTCTCTTCCTTAAGCTAAATATTGATAAGTCTATAAAAATTTCATAATAACACATTGTTTGCACTAGATATATTTATGATTCACGAATATATCAT